ATACGTATAATAACATAATCAGAATTAATTGATGAACATCATCAAAAATCTTGACATCATTGGAAGCACAAAAGTTCATGTTTTATAACAATGCAAAAATTGAAAAATGTGTTTTCTGATTGAAATTACTGAGCCCACTCTTTTAATTCAATTACTCTTTAACTTCCATTTGTTGATCCCAAGATTCTGAGAATGCATGTAGTAAAAGTCCTTAAAATAAGTTTTCATTTCGAAGTTGAGTTGATTTTTTTATATTAAATTTCATTTTTTTTTAAAATAAGAATCATGTTATTTATTTCTTTCATTTTGTTACATTCTCCAAAACAAGTCTCATTTGAGAAAATCCAATCTGTTTTTTTTACCATTGAATTATTCTTCAAAACATCCATTATCGTAAGCCGAATAACATTTTTAGAGTATTTCATGGAAAATTTCTGGAAGCAAATGATATAGAACGAAATCGAGGCTGGATATCGAATTGTATCTAATCTATGTTATTTTAAGTTGAGAATTAAATATCCTTTGATGTGACGGGGAAATATTTCTTTATAAGATTTCAGCTACGTTAGGGACACACGGTAAACAAATTTCTTGACCTTACAAAAGAACTTTCTAAAATTACTTAGAACATTTATATAAATATAAAAATAAAGTTTCAATGTTAAGAAACTCATATATTTCTGTAAAGGAAGAATTTCTTTTCATTTTTTAAGTTTTTACTCTTCAAGAGACCTTTAAATTTTCCGAAGAAAATTCGTACACCATTCTTGAATAAATTCTTTCAAGAATCCCATTCATGATATCTTCATAGACTGATTAACTATTACATTGGCAGATTCTTTTCAACATCTATTCTTCTAAAAGAATTAAAACAAATGGGCATCAATTGTACCCAAAGTGCCTTTCAAAGAAGTATTGAGTGTCAGTTGACTTAATTGCTTTGCGGATAAAGTCAGTACTATAGTGGCGACATTAAGTGAGACGTCCTTTTGCGTGCAGACGTTAAGTAAAACATCCTGTTTCGTTACATTAAGCGTTGACATACAGTAAACAGTTCTGTCTTTTTATTAAGGTGAAAAGACGAAGACAAAAATTAGGAAACTTTTTTTGGAGAAAAAAACCCTTATTTTTATAACATTAATGGGAAAAAAATTTACTTTATTGATTTTAAAAACAAATGTTCACGTTAATATTGAGCTAAAAAGTGATAAAAACGAAGGATGATATTAGAAACTATTTTTCCACTGGCGATTTTAGTTTCTAAAGGAATTACTTTTTTTTTATTTTACTATAGCAATTAAAATTTTTAAACATTATTTTGACTTTTCATTCAAAAACTAAAACATATGATTTTCTTCTGGCTTTTATATTTCCATTGTACTTTCCTTTTAATAATTAAAAAAAATATCCAATGCTAGTTATACATCATGTAATATACACTTAATAAAAATTAAATGCATATCATATTGTAAATTATTGAAACCTATTAATAGCTTCTAAAGTAATTAAATGTCAAAATTAAAAGGATATTTATTTTTAATAATACTAAAAGAACATATAATGTGATTTCCTAATCTTTTGAATAGTATCAAAATTTTACTTTTGGGTTATTTTTAAGCTACAATTTAACAAGAAGTGTTTGGTTGTAATAAATGCAACCTCCCACAGGCAGTTTTTGACTGAACAGATTTCTGATTGTTGTTCTTCAATTCAGTTCATGTTCGTTTAATCATGTCTTTCAATTCATATCTGCTAAAATAACCGACTGTTACACCACTTACCTCTGAGATTGCACACTGTCAAGTCCGATTGCAATCGTTTCGAACTCGATCAACGTAGAACTACGCTGACTGGAGACGTAAATCTTTAGTGACGAGTCCACTTTTCAACTATATCCTGATGATAATGACAGACGTAGGCATTAAGGGTGGCGATTCTTTCCGAAAAAGATTGATTTTTTAATCGATTCGAATCATAACCTGATGAATCGATTCACAAAAAAATTGAGGTCTAAATGATCGATTTCTAAAAAAATCGATTTTTTTCAAGTCTGCATTTACAATGTAAATATAAATCCATTTTATGAAAAACAAGAAAGATACCATAATATATATAAATGATCTCTTATCAGTAAAACCAGGGAATTTTTTAGTTCAGGGAGTTCGACAATTGCAATTATTTTTATTACCATATCAAGGTATCATGTATAAAACAAGACATTTATTTTTTTTAACGTATTTGTTACATTAAAAAGTTTAGAAAATAAATAATATAGCTTGTAGTTTCCAATGCTTAATATCTAAGCTTTTTAAAAATATTAGTCTGTCAAGTCTACTGAGATTCAAGCGGTTCCGTTCATCATTTGTGAAGTTGCTGGCAATAAAAAAAAGGCGCTCAAGAGGAACAGATGATCCCACGATACTTATTTAGATCATGGCTATTGAGTGAACATGATGATAAATCGACTTTTTTTTTGTTCCTGCCTTTAAAGTACAGGATCATACTTCAGATGCACAACTGCTTGCGTTAAATAGTGCTTAAATTCTTCGTTTTTATCAAATATGCCTTAAATCCATGGTTTTTACCAATTTTATGGTTCTTACCAAAACAGAAAAAATCGAATATCGATTTTCTAGGATGAAATATCGATTCAATGAATCGATTCAGAGCCACATATCGATTTAAAAAATTGATTTTTCTTTTGGCTCGAAGAAATCGATTTTTCGATTAATTGATCTCAGATCGCCATCCCTAGTAGGCATTCTTTTCCTGATTATTGCATGTCACACATGTTCACAATAGGGCCTTATTGTCTGGGGTTAGATTTCTTTTGATAGCCGGACCCCTTTGGTAGTCATTTCTCGCACACAGACAGCAAGTGGTACGTTGACGACATCCAACGACTGGTTGTGTTACCGTTCCTTATGCGACACCCTGAACGTACTTTTCAATACAATAATGCTCGACCACATACGGCATGTGTTGCTATGAACTGTCTTCAAGCGAGCTTGCCCTACACCTTCTTGTCCAGCTTGGTCACTTGCTTCCTCTCCTCTTGGGACTTATGGGAAGGCGATCACAACTATCTCGGAATGTTGACGATTTAACCCAACAGTTGGAGGCAATTTTGAGCGAAATTCCGAAGGACATTATCTGGGAAACTTTCGGATGACAGCTTGCATTCAGGTCAGAGGTAGACAGACTCCTTATTGACCTCCTCCCTTTTTGAAAGACAATCTCTGAAATAACCATTAAATTGTTCGGAAATGTTTTTTTTTTATGAATGTTATTTTTTTTCTTTGTTCAATTTTTGTCGTAACGGGACAACTCTTTCTTGGTACGTCACTTTTCAATTCCTAAACACTATTATATATAGCTCATACTCTCTATATATTTATTTATTTATCTTGGTGGAGTTTTCAATCGTTAATAAAATACATTTTAAAGCGCTCAATTGAGCTGAAATTTTATGTACATGATTATTTTGGATGACAATATAATAATTTAATTATAATTAATAAAATTAATTGATTAAAACTAATTATTTAAAGAATTACAAATACAGCCACGTTGGCATCATTTTCGGCGACTTGTGTCAAAACTTGAAAAGGTTTTTTTCTCACGTTTTAAATTATTCAGTTGAACTGAAATTTTATATACGCGATTGTTTTAGATGACAATACGATGCTTTAAAGATAATTAATAAAAATTAATTTCCACTTAATGTTGCGATTCTGTCATATGTATATACATATTTATATTAATTGTAATTATTTAATAAAAAGTAGCAAAAAAATAAAATTTTTCTTTGTTGATCTAAGTAGGAATTGACTTAAAAATTTTTTTATATTATTTGTGTGTTTTTTTTGTTGTTGTTGTTATAGAATGTAACTCCATATGTAACTTAAAAAGTTCTTTTTTCAATAATTTTAAATATGTTTTAAAAGATTTGTCTTTAAAAATTTATGCGCGCGTTTGAAAGTAATAGCTTAATATTTTAAATATATCTGCTGGGAGGGTAGAATTAATTTCAAGTCATAAAATAGGACAAAATAATGTTTGGAGTACATTTTTTTAAAACTGTTGTAATATGTACAATATTTATTTATGTATAATTCAACAAGCAATTAAAATACAGTTGGACCTCCATTTTACGAATTTCTTCCTGAAACCTAGAGCCGAGAACCTGGAAAGAATGAATCTCAATTTAACGAATTTTCCACACAACGAAATTTTTTTCGGGATTTAGTGACTTTGTTAAAGAGAAAGTTTCGATTATATTTTAAGAATAACTAAAAGTAAAAAAGAAAATTTTTTGATGTTTTGAAAGAAGGCCTTAAGGAATATTTTTTACACTGTTTAATGAAGACCAGTATTTGAACGGAATACAATTTTTCTTTTAATGAAACAATTGAGTCACAAAATCATAGTGCATTTTTAATTTCACATGGATATATGAATAAGATCTATTATAGTTTTTTTAAAGATTTTCTTAGTAGAAAATAAAAGCAATGTAAAATGTCCACTAATTTAAAACTATTAAAAGTTTTTTCAGGGGATGTAAAAATATCTTATAAATTTCCATTTGAGAAACCTGTTTGTACTATTTTAATACTAAGGAAATAGTTTTAAAAAATTTTTTCACAAAAAATTGAAAGAATTCACAAATAATTATTACAATATTCTAAAATATTTTGTGTGTGTGAATTTGGAACAATTTTCTTAAAAATCAATCAAAAATAGAGAGCATTTTTCAGTTCCTACTTTTAGTTCACACAGCCCTTATATGTATCGTGTTCAAATTTTCAATAGTTAATAAAATATTTTTTATCATTCCGTTCAAGTTCAAATACATTTTTTTAAATTCGCAGTAGATGACACTTGATAATAAACAACTTTTTTCAATTATTATTCTATCATTAATTCTATTTAATTAATTAATAAATAGTAACAAAAATAATAGTCCGGCATCATATATAAAAAGGAAAATCGCTCATTGTGTCCCTGTAGTGCAATGGATAGCGCGTTGGACTTCGAATCCATCGGTCGTGGGTTCGAATCCCTCTTGGGATGGCCTAATTTCTGAGAATATGATTTCTAGTTATTGTACTATTTTATTGGAATAATTAAATTAAATTAATGAATAAATAGTAACAAACAAAAATATTCGTCCAACACCATATATAGAATGGATTATCGCTTTCTATTTTGCCACTTAATATTGTGATTCTGTCATAGTATGTATATATACATATTTATATTAATTGTAACTATTTAAACTTAAAATTAATTATTAAAAAATAACTAAATAAAATTTTTCTTTGTTGACCAAAGTAGGGGAGAGGGGAATTGACTTAAATTTTAATTTATATTATTTGTTTTATTTCCAATTATGTTTAACAAAATACATAAATCAATAAATAAAACAATTTTATGTTAATAATTAGTATCATAAACTGATTTTATTTAGTTTCACGTTGTCTGTGTTGATTAATGTATACAAAAATACAACTCCTTACCTCAATATAATTATATAGCATTAATATTAATATATGTACTAATAATATAAATATTGTTAATCATGAATCAGAGTTGTTGTAATGCATAAAAACTTGAGAAGTTATTACGATAAGTAAAAATGCGATAAACCAATATTCTGCTGGATAAAAATGAAATTTTTAAGGATATATCATTTGTAGTATAACATAAGATGTTTACTTTTAATGTCCATTTTGTTTTTCTGTATTATGAAGCAAATAGCTCGCAGCCATTTTTTAATTTGCGTAAAATTTCTTGCAAATACTTTTCTGCTTAGAATCTCAAAAACATTTAGAAGTAAACAAGTAATGTTTTTATTGAACAAGTGAAGTTACTATAGAAACAAAATAAGTCAAAAACTTGTATACTGGGATAAAATAACACTTGCAGAAAATGAAGAAAATTTGAAAATGAGAGTGTCGTCTTTCATACTTCTACGGAAAATTCGAATATTCCTTTTCTTTACATTTTTCAATGACTTTTATTCTTCAATTCTCAGGTTCTTGTTTTTTTCCTGCTTTCCATTTCAAAATATTCTTTCTTCTCACTAGAAGAAGTTCGGCAACCCTAGAAATTAAAATGAATATTTACGTTACTTAAAATCAATTGGATTTCACAAACCCCCTCCCCTCTTCTGAAAAAACAATATTTCTAGAATTTGAATTGGCTTCTAGTGTTTTCATTATGATTCGTTTCATCTTCTTCCTCGAAATATAAATAATTAATAATTTAGATAAGTATAAGTATGAGATTTATAAATAAAAATAATTACAAAGGCAATTATATTATCATTCTACGTTTATATTTTAAAGAAAGACATGGAATTTGTGTGTGTTCAGTAATCATATTTAAAAAACACACACATTATTTTAATTTAATTTTTAATTTAAACTTTCACGTAAAATAATTCGGAACTGCGAAGACTAGGTTGATAAATTCTCCAGTTTTCTAATTTTATTTTTGAATAATAATGTAGTTATAGTTATTAATTAATATATATGCCTTTCATGTACAAGTTTCAAGTCAATGAACTTGTTCACTTGGATATTACAAGCATATAAATTTAAATCGACACAATCAGTATAAAAAAAAAACCCTGCATACACACTACATATATAAATGCATAGATGTACAATATGTGATAATAATGATGCAAACAATAAAAGAAGCATTGTTTAGATTTTGCATTTTTTAATTTGTTACTTTTGTGTACAGTTAATTACTTTTTTAATAGTAAAAAAATAATAAATTGTTTCTATTAATTTATATATTTAAATTTCTATTTTTCGAGTAGGTATTTTAGTTATATTGAATTTAAATACATTGTTTTTTCATTATAAATAATATTACTTATTTTATTATCAACTATTTTAAAATCTAAATACAAAAATTAAAATTTATTTGATTTATAGTAAGTTTTTAACAAACTAATGTAATCAGGGTTTGATGTAATATTTGTTTTAAATTCACAATTTCTTTTTGAAGAAATAATAAACTTTTCAAAGTAACAGTAAAAAAGTAGAATTCATAATTTATGCAGCCTATTTACGGAAAACTACAAATACGAGTAGATATTGGGCAATTTGTGGTTGTTGGGACTAATACCACCTGTCTGACGAAGTCAGATCGGGGACCGCGAAATTCATCGCGGCTAAGGGCTAGAACCTTTACGCATGTCGTTAGCCTTAGTTTTGAGCACCATGCAGGTGACAGTAAGATTTTGCTCGGTTCCACCCCAATTTAGAGGGAGAAAACCCTGGGGGTGGCCAGGGGCCTCTCACCTCTCTTTTCCTTCCACCAACCCAACCACACGAGAACCTCTTGGCTAGACGGATATTTAGAGTATCCCCATGCCACAAAAGCACTATACATTTACAAACATCCATGTCTTCTCTGGGATTCGAACCCAGTCCCTACGGCACAGCAGCCAGCGTCGCTAACCACTATAAGGTTGGGAGCTGACTGATTGATTGAATATTAACGTCGCACTGTTCAGCTACACGAGGGCTTTTGGCGACGGACCACGTAATTTTGAACCATGGTCAAGTGACGTGGACGACTACAGGTTGGGGGACTGGACAAGTAATTACTGTTATGTGTGTGATCACCCTCTGATAAGCCTTTAATTTACTTATTAAAGTTTTGATTGAAAGCAAAGAAGTTTTTATGCAAATTAAGTTTAAAGGGATGGGGTGGTCCTTCACAATGTCAAATTTTGGTCAAAAGTGCGATTTTGATTTTTTTTATACTAATAATATTCCCCATGTTTCATAAAGTAATTCTATCAAAGAATTTTTTCATTTTGATTAATAATTACTGAATTATTATTATTTTTATTTTACACATATAAATGTTTAAAATACACTTTTCTCTGTTCGTCGATTTCCCCTTTTCATTGTTACGTAAAATGCTCTTTGCGTTTCAAATTACGTCACATCTCTTTGAAATTTTCTCAGCGTATGAAAGATGATATAATTCACAAATTTGTGTATTAATTATTTGAAAAACTTAATGGAGCATGTTTTGCGTTGTGTTAAATACCTTGAAAGTGTGACAATTGGCGAAATATTTAGAATAGAAAATTTACCTTTTTTTAATCAAATTTCATTCTGAATTTAAAATCTGAGCACATATATATTTTGTTATAGTTCATCTATCAACGAAACAAAAATTATGTACATATCTTAAAAATCAATAAGCAAGGAGCATTCTTAAAAATAATTTTAAAAATTTATATTTAAAAAAATCAGTTTAATAATATTTGTTTAAAAATATATATTTAAATTGAGAATTATAACATTCATTTACTATAATGATTCCATTTTTAGTTGATTAAGCTAAGAAAGAAATTAGTATAATGATTCACCATCTCCTCTTCAAGAACATTGAATTTTTTTCAGTTTTGTAGTTCTGTTTAAAAGGTATTTATAAACGTAACAGCTATGATTATATCATCAATATCTATAGAGTTAAAAAGTTTAAAATTTCGGAAAGCATTATTATTTAAAAAGTGTTCCTTCAGCAATTTACTATCATAATATTTCCTTATAAAAATTTAACTTACAGACAGTTTGATATCATGTATTATAGCAAAATCCCTCGCAAAATTCTTTATTAAAAATCTGTATAGAACCTTTAAATGTAATTTCAAGTGAACTTTGAAGTTCAGACTCATTACTCCTCCCTTTAATATAAAGATTCTGGTATAATCAAACATTTCTATTAGCATTAGCATATAATATATATTGCAATCTGAAGAAAATAAACCTCTTCCAAATCATTTCTGATTTGATTTCTTATGACTTAGCCACTACTTGAAAGGATAAGTTTAAAAAAATCAATACCATTTTTTAAAAGTTTTCTCAATACATAATCTTTACTACACTCTTGTCCATAAATTAAGGATTATTCAGAATCACACAGAAATTGAACTCTAAAATAAAAATTTCACCTGTAGAATTATCACACACATCTTGAAGAAGAATATGCAAATTACAGGAAACCACCAGATGACACGGATAGTACGTCAAAATAACAAGAGTATAACAGAGGGGTATATAAAGAATAGGGGCAAAGAAGTTGAAATGTTCACAAGCGCTTTAAAAGCCTGTCAGTGCAATAACCGCCTAGTTATGGCCCAAACGAAGCATTTGGATAATTTTTAACGTGGTAAAATTATTGGACGACTGGATTGTGGACATACCCAGCAAGAAGTATCCGAAGAACTTGGAATCACCCAGAGTGTCATTTCCAGGCTTTGGCAACAATTCCAAGATGATGGTAATGTGAGTAGATGTTACAGCACAGGTCATCCCTGAGTTACAACGCCGAATGAGGACCGGCATTTGGCAGTTACTGCCAAAAGAAACAGACGCAGCACAGCATCAGACCTGTCTCGACAGCTCTCTTTAGCTACCGGTACGACAGTTTCAAGGCAGACCGTGTACAGACGCTTAGAGCACATTGGTTTATATGCTCGTAAACCTGCCATCAGATGTGTTCCACTTACCACAACTCACTGTCACCTGCGATTAACCTGGAGTAGAGAGCATGCATTGTGGACACCACAACAGTGGTCTTGTGTGATGTTTTCCGACGAGTCCAGGTTTAGTTTGCAGTCTGATTCCCTCCGGACTTTCATATGGAGAGCGCCAGGTACCCGTTACCACCAAAAGAACACCATTGAACGACATCGTTACGGTGATGCAGGATAGCTCGTTTGGGGAGGAATTATTCTTGGTTCCAGAACTTACCTGCATGTTCAGAGTGTAACGATGACAGGCCACATCTATCGGGATGTCATTATGGAACAACAGGTACGTTTGTTTCGGGGCGCCATGGGTGCTGAATTTCTGTTTATGGTTGACAATGCCCGTCCTCATCGTGCAAACATTGCAGACGAATGCCTTCAATCGGAGGATATCACCCGTATGGTTTGCCCAGCATAGTCACAGGACTTTAATCCAATAGAGCATGTGTGGGATATGCTTGGCCGACGAATTGCAGCCCGTCAACACCCTTCCACCTGCCTACCG